ACGAACAATGAATCATGGAACATTTCATCTAGAACTAATGATGTAATGTATGGGGATTAACATAAGAATAAAAAAAAAAAAAGAGTCCATAGGAATATTTTATCTGGCAGCTTTTTAAAAAGGAAGGTGCAAACCTCTAAGAAAATGCCTAGAAATTTCACCAGATATTTTCAATAGCTATTCTTAGAGCAATATTTTAGCAAAATTTAACAATATTGATCGGTTGGTAGTTAAGCGGCAAATAATTTATTTAGAATTGTGACAACCGTAATCCAAAATCTAGCTTCAAGTCTTTTATCATCATGTCAAAAGAACATGAGCCTTTCTCACATAGGTATCTTCTGCTTCCAAATGTGAAACCCTGAGAAGGACCCAAGAGTAGTTATGCATTGTCTAGTACAGAATGGATAAATGAAATCACTAGAATATCAGGCCAACTCCAAAATGAGGAATGTTCTTTGAAAGAAAAGGAGATGGAAGCTTCTAAAATACCAATGTCATAAAAGGCAAAGACTGAGGAGATGTTCCAGGTAAAGAAGGTTAAAGAAACAAAGTTACCAAATGCAACATCTGCCCCTCCATTGGCTCCTTTGCTGGACCACAGTGAAGGTTGCAAAAGGCATTGGTGGGTCCAGTGAGAATATTGGACTCTGATAGATTATGTGAAAGTATTTCGTCAATGTTAATATTTCCTGATGTTGCTAACTGTGCTGTGGTTATGCAAGAGATTGTCTCTATTCTTAAGAAATACACACTAATGTATTTAGGGGTTTAAAAAAAAACCCCATGATATATACAACTTACTCTCAAATGGCTCTGAAAAAAAGACATCTCTCTCTTTCTATATATAGAAGTATATATATTTATATCCTCATTTGTTTTGTATAAACACATCTCTCTAGAGAGATAGCATAAGATAAAGCAAATGATGTGATTTGATTAAGAAATCGGCAAATCATACGGGGGTTCTTTGTATTATTATTCTTGCAATTTTTCTTTAAAAAAGAGGAGAGAAAGGAAGGAGAGGGGAGAAAGGAAAGATTGTGAAATAAATGATATGAAGGCAAGTGATGTTTCATATAGAAAAAACCTAAAATTAGATCCTTTGCTTAGGCCATACACAAAAATAAATTCCAAATAAATTAACAGTACAATCATGGAAAATGCGACCACTTTAAATTTAAAAAAAAAGTTTCTTAGGGGGCACCTGGGTGGCTCAGATGGTTAAGCGTCTGCCTTCGGCTCAGGTCATGATCCCAGGGTCCTGGGATCGAGTCCCACATCGGGCTCCCTGCTCAGCGGGGAGCCTGCTTCTCCCTCTGACCCTCTCCCCTCTCATGCTGTTTCTCTCTCGCTCGCTCAAAAAAATAAATAAAAATCTTTAAAAAAAAAAAAGTTTCTTAGACAAGGGAAAAAAACCAGACACACCAAAAGTCAAAGGATAATAAATGTGATTGTATCTCATTTTAAAGACTTCTGCAGAGCAAAGAATGTCACAAAGATAAAAGATAAGTGATATACTGAGACAGGATATCTCAACACATGACAGAGCCAAATAATTAATACCCAGAAAAAATACATAAAAGACCAATAATCAAAGAAAACCACAGGAAATGTACAGAAAAAGAAACCTGGCTGTCTGATAAATACAGGGAAAATGGTTATTCTGACTAGTAATCAGAAACGTGCAACCTAAAAACTTGGAGATAATATTTTACAACTCTGATTGGCAGAAAAATGAGAAGTCTCACACTATTGGGTGTCACTAAACCTGTAGGGGGACAGAGAGGTCCAGGCCTCGCCATTGGAGAGCAATTTGGCAATATCCAATGAGGGGAGAATTGCCCATACCCATGACAGCAACACCTCTTCTCGATTGTCTCCCAGAAAACAGCCACACGGGGCTTCTAGAAGATGGCTCATTGCAGCATCAGCGACCATACAAGAACTAAGAAACAACCTAAATTTGATCAATACTGGAAGGTACAACTGAATTATGACGTAGTGTTTCAAAAGAATCATATAGGTAGTTGAAACAAATACGTTTGATCTATGTGATCAGCATGGGGACCTAAGACAGCATGTTGAGTATGCTGTGGGGACATTCATGTCACATATTGAACCTCTAGAAAGCAACACAGGAAGGAAGCGCAGTCAAAGCAGGAGTGCTGTTTCCTCCGGAGGAGAGAGGAAAACAAGACAGAAGAGGGGAGCCCAGAGGGCATTAACTCCATTTCTGACATTCTATTTCTTTGATGGATATGTTGATTTATCTATCTACTTTCAAATACATGTATCTAAAAAACCAGCCAAATTTTAAAATGCATTAATCAAGGTGTTGGGTCCACAAATGTTTGTTATATTGATCTCACTCTTAAAAATAGTTTTAGAAGATTGGAAAACTGGGTTTCCCAAAACTCTCCAACTACTCTGTATGTGGAAAATAGTGGCTCATGCAAGCCTTGATGTCACAGGAGTAGGGAGAGATGTCCTTGTTCCTCCCATGTTCCCAAAAGCCCTCATGCACAGCTCTCTCCTATGCCCCGGGGTGACTGGCCTGGTCACCTGCCCAGTATTAGTAGGCATCACTAGAGAATCTCCCAGGTTCCTTTCACCAGTTCATAAAGGAAAAGCTCAATTACTTCTTACAACTTTCAACAGGCTATCATGCTATTTTTTGGTGCATAGAAATTTATTTATTTGGTATTAAGAATATATATGATCATTATGAAAAGTGTCAATACAAAGAAATCAAAAGATGCCTCATTATCTATTTCCTAGAAAAAGTAAAAGAAAACTATTAACAATGTGCTGTATTTCCTTCTAGTCAATTTTTGGATAGGCAAGCAAACATATGCAAAATATAATTCCATACCTATAACTCTGTAACTATCACTTTGTCACCTCTCCTCTGTCCATGTCACCTCTCCTCTGTCCTTGGAGAAAGTTATGTCTTTCATGTAAGCGTATTGGATTTAGCCAGATTCTAACTGAAAATCATTTCTTTCTGGTTTCTACTGGGGTCTGCAGTGCTGAGTAACATCCTATTAAATATTTTGGGGAGCTGTTACCCTATTATTTCATCAGGATAAGTTCCCGAAGGTGGAATTTCTGGGTAAAAGGTTGTGAACAGTGGGCACTTCGCTACATATTGTCAGATTGCCTCCTGAGAAGATTGGGTCAATCAGTGTTCCAAATATCCAAGAGTGAGTGCTCACCTCATGTCAGATACTGGCCCCGTGCTTTAAATGTGGTCACAGACGGAGTTCTCTCAACAGCCCTGTGAGGTTGGTACAATCATTATCCCCAAGTTACAGATGAGAAAACTGAGCAAGGAGAGGATGGACAATCTCCCAAACTCCCGGGGCTGGTAAACAGCCAAAGAGGATTTACATTCGGGTTGTTTAGAGCAAGGCACACACTCCTAAACACTACTGTCTCTACCCAGTAGTATCCGAAAACACTAACCGGCTGTGATACCTTGACCAACTAATTAAAACCTCATCCTTAAAAGGCAAACAATGGTGGGACCTATTTATGAAGTTGTAGGGATGGAATGAGCTAATGTAAAGTGCTGAAGGGAGTATGCAGCATGATGAATGCACTCAAAAAGGTTACATGTTACTATTTCTTTTATTATTTGGGACCTTGAGCATTTTCAAGGCTTATCATTTGTTTGTAATTCTTCAGCAAGCTGCCTGTTCGTATCATATGCACATTTTTTTCATTGGATTTCTTAAATTTAACTTCCTTTTTTTTTCCCCCCAGGACAGACTGGTCTGTATATCTAGATAGGTCAAAAGCAGAAACAAGTTAAGACGCCTGCCACCTTCTGCCACGTTACTGAGCACGCTTTGCATTTTCTGCCCTGCACACACCTCGTTCTTGCTTGCTTGTTCTAACCACCCCTCATCCACCGCCACTCATTATACATGCCCATTTCCATGTGTAAACTGCTAGATGCCGAGGCTCTTTGCCTGACATGCTAACTCCCAGAAAGCCAAGGTCTTTGTTCACTCCTGGGCTGGATGCAGGCTTCGGACAGAGTCCTGCCCATGGGAATAACATTGCCCATGTCGGGGGTACAGACTATTGCTTCCTCAGACAGAAGATTAGATCTGGAGATAGACTGCCTGCCTTTGAGTCTTAACCCAGTGCAATTCTGAGAAAAAGCATCTTTGTGCAGATGAGGAACATTTGTTGCCTTTTTAAGAAATAACAGTTAATGTCAAAGCAGATTTTGCAAAGTGCATGGCTCTTTCATCTCTGTTTATCTCTGTCTATACATATCATTCTAACCATCATTCTGTGCCTCGATCTTTATCTCTCCTGATTTTCCTCTCTGCTTCTCTGGTCTTACATTTCTCCCTCTATATCTGGCACTACTTTTCTATTAGTCCCTGCCTTTCTCCCTTCTTCCTTCTTTGGTGCACAGAATTAAAAATGACTTTAAAAAGCCAGGATACCTCTGGGTGACTGAGAGCCTACTCCACTCCATAGTAAGACTGATTCACCACTAACTATAGAGAAGCATCTATATACCTACATTTTCCCATTTTATGTAATTATTTTGGTTTGACTTAATTAAATTGAACTTAATTTTCATACAATCCTAGAAGAGATGCATTATTATCCCCCCTTTTATGGGTTCAGAAACTGAGAGAGGGTCTAGGAAGCTTGCTGCAGTTTGTAAGCAATGGAGCCACAATTTAAAGCCAGATTTGTCTAGGTCCTGAGCCCACAACTCTCTCTACCACATGACCCTTTCCTGTTCTTCTCCGGCCCAGAAGCGTTTGTAAGTTGCAGCTGGAATGAAACAGACAAAATCATTGCTCACTGTCTCCTGTCTCAAAATGTGAAAAAGCCATCTATCCAAAGGGACACATCTGTGCTTAAGGGACTGAGCCCCAGGGGGCTACTGCTCCCCTGGCTTCCCACTCACTGAGGCAGCCCTGCCACAGCAGAGTCCCGTCCACCCCATTTCTGCATTCCTCACTTACCCAGGAGGAGGAGGAAGGCTCTCAGCATGCTGGCCCCCGAGCCCATGTTGGCTCTGTGCTCCTGGCTCCTCTCTGAACAGGCACTGCGGGCTGTGTGACCCAAGGCTGTGAGGAACGGGAGCCAAGCTCCACGTGACAGACAAGGAGGAAGCTGCCTCCACGGCTAGGAGGTTGCTCAGTTCCTCTCGGCTCTGTCAAAGGGCAGGGCTGAGGGAAGCCCCTGTTGTCCTGGCCCTGCCATCGGTGGAAGGGAGCTAGCCCTCGAGGCTTTCTGGGTACTGGTTATCACCCCACCTATCTCCTATAACCCGCCCCCCACCACCACCACACACACACAGCACGGGAACAGAAGTGCCCCTGGGTGCAGATTCTTGCTCAAAGACCCAGGCTGATAAGTCTCAGAGGCGAGGGGGGGGTGGGGGGCAAAGCTGGTCAACGTGGATTTCCAGTTCCTGCAGCAACGCCCATGGCCTTGGGTCAGGGACAGGAAGTCCCCCACCAGCCCACAGTGCACCCTAGTCACTGTTTTTTTGTGCCATGCACTCCTCTCAGTCTGGGGAGGCTGACTCTCTTCTCAGAATAACATTTTTAATGTCCAAAATAAAGTAGCTAGGATCATAAAAGAAACCAGTTATATTGAAATACAGTTATCAAAATATTTAGAAAGGAGACTTATGATATAGAAATATATGTGCTTCTTTCTCTACCCATTGAACAGCAAGATCTAGCACACGTACAGTAAGCCCACAATCCTGACATCGTGACAAACAGAAACAATATTTAGAGACGTCTGTACCAGCTGGAATGTGGATGAAAAAATCTACAGTTGCTACCAGCAATAAAGTCACCTGTGTGGTAATATCGCGGTGGCTTATTGCTTACCCTCACGTAGGAAAGACATGTGAAGTTTCCATTAGAGGTTAGAGGACAGGGATGTGATTTTTTTTCCCATCCACATTCCCAGACCCCACAAGAAGCCCCTTATGTTGGAGGACCCTTGGTTCTCAACAGGCTCACACCAACAGATTTGGGGCCATACATTTCCATACTTCTTGACACCTGCCTGTCGAGCCACCACCTCAAATGTGCAAGAAATCTTGCTTTTAAAAATGTACAGCCACTTAATGACAAGTGTTGAGCCCCATCCAAATGGACAACAGTGAGCCTCTTTTCATTCTCAAGCTTCCTCAGCCAAGTCCCTAACACAGCTAACTCACTGAGCACATTTGTCCCTCTGAGCCTCACGCAAATGATGGACGTGAGCGGAGCAGGATGTTCGTGAGAAAAGCCATTTGCTTCGTTTTGGCGCCTTAGGGTTCCAGCCTTCTATCCAGACACACTTTATTTCATACTTAACACTTTGGGTCAGTCTTCACCTACACCAGGAAACGGACTCCCTCTTGCTTCTCCTGGTACGAGTGAACTTTTAAAACTTTTACCCCTCTTTCTTTTTCTTTTTTTTAACTTAAATTCAATTAACCAACATAGAGTAGTACATCATTAGTTTCAGATGTAGTGTTCAGTGATTAATCAGTCGCATATAACACCCAGTGCCCATCACATCACGTGCCCTCCTTAATGTCCATCACCCAGTTACCCCATCCCCCCCACCTCCCCTCCAGCAACCCTCAGTTTGTTTCCTGGAGTCAAGGGTCTCTCATGGTTCGTCTCCCTCTCTGATTTCTTCCCATTCAGTTTTCTCTCCCTTCCCCTATGGTCCTTTTGCATTATTTCTTATACTCCACATATGAGTGAAACCATATGATAATTGTCTTTCTCTGACTTACTTCACTTAACATAATCCCCTCCAGTTCCATCCATGTCAATGTAAATGATAGGTATTCATCCTTTCTGATGGCTGAGTAATATTCCATTGTATATATGGACCACATTATCCATTCGTCTGTTGAAGGGCATCTCGGCTCCTTCCACAATTTGGTTATTGTGGACATTGCTGCTATAAACATTGGGGTGAACGTACCCCTTCAGATCCCTACATTTGTATCTTTGGGGTAAATACCCAGTAGTGCAATTGCTGGGTCATAGGGTAGCTCTATTTTCAACTTTTGGAGGAACCTCCATACTGTTTTCCAGAGTGACTGCACCAGCTTGCATTCCCACCAACAGTGTAGGTTGACCCAAGGCCTTTCTCCGCATCCCTGCCAACATCTGTTGTTTCCTGTCTTGTTAATTTTAGCCATTCTGACTGGTGTGAGGTGGTATCTCATTGAGGTTTTGATTTGGATTTCCCTGATGCTGAGTGATGTTGAGCACTTTTTCATGTGTCTGTTGGCCATTTGTATGTCTTCTTTGGAGAAGTGTCTGTTCATGTCTTCTGCCCATTTCTTGACTGGATTCTTTGTTTTTTGGGTGTTGAGTTTTTAACCCCACTTAATGGAGATGTTATAGGAGAAATATTTCATTTCCTGAGCAAACTGTAAGAGAATGCCAGAGCAGGCATGGTAAGTCATCGGCAGTGGCTGGGGGATGTGCGAAGTGCATCAGGGGAGCCGCAAGCGGGCCCAGGGCTGCCAGGTGCACAAAGAGGTCTCATGTTTTGTGGAATCACATTTTTAAATGTCAGCACCTAATTTTAAAATGTTCTTACATGGGGCAGCTCAAACCAGACAGCAGTATGTAACTTCTGCTCTAAAATACCTCTGGAAACCTCTTCTAGGGCTCAACCTTTCAGATATAAACCCAGGAAGGGAGATTCCTGCAGCAACTTCTGCTTTTCACCCTGCCACAACCTCCTGAGACCGGAAAAGGCAGCGTCTGCCCCCTACCTGAGTAGAGAAGAGGGGAATACAGGCGCTCAAAATCGTCCCATAAGCTAGAATCTGAAAAGATAACCTGACACCTAGGCCGTGCACCTGGGTGGGATGGGGGGCCTCCGTGTGGTGTGATGCCCCCCAGCCAGAATGGGTGCCCCACCCCCTGGCTCCTGTAACAAACACCTCTTCGTTTTACAATGTCTGCTTCTTAACCGGAGTCTGCTCCTGCCACAGCGGCTGGGAGCCTGTGAAGGCAGGGGCTGAAGCCTAGTCCTGTGCCTGACACAGCTCAAGATCTCAGTGGCGGTGGCCGCATCAAGGAATCAGTTTACTTGCTTAGCTCACACCCAGGCGGAGCCAGCCCAGCCTCCAGCCTGTGAGCGGGAAGGCTGTGGACTCTGCTGTGATCTGGAGGTAACCTGCTCTGCCAATCCAAAGAGAAGGAGCCCACAGCTCTGATAGCCACAGGGGGCTGCCCCTTGTCCAGCATGGTCACCATCTGACCTCAGGAGCTCCTCTCTTCCCCCAGCACCTCAGCACCAGCCGCAGAGCTCACAGATTCATACCCCATGTGCCTGTAGTGCAGGTCAGGAAATCTGTCAGATCCACATCATTACAGAAGGTTTTTAAAAATGAGAGATAAGGAAGATTTGAAACACACATCGATCTATCGGACTTAAATAGGACTCTTCACCCAACAATTAGAAGATAACTATTCCTCTCAAGTATGCATGCAATATTTACAAAAAAAAAAAAAAATTACTACATCTGGGCCATGAAGTAACTCTCAAAAATTTCAAAGAATGGCTGACATACAGATTACATTTTTTACCACAGTGCCATCGAATCAGATGACAGTAACAAAAAGTACATTCAGTTTCCATGTGTTTGGAAGCTTTAAAACACGTTTCTAGGTAACTTAAAAGTCAATAAAAAAATAACAGTAAAAATTAAAAATAACCAGAACCTAAAGATAATGAAAATGTTTCATACCTGATTGCGTGGATTGAAAGTAAAGTAATAATTAGAAGGAAAGGATATAGTACTTAGAAAAGAAGGGCTGAGAAGGAATGAGCTAAGTAACCAATTGGAGAAGTTTAGAAAGAATAAGCCTAAGAAAAGGCAGAAGAAAGGCAATAATAAATATGAAAGCAGAAATGAAAAAACCAGAAAGCAAAGATTCGATAGGGAGGGTCAACAAGTCCTAAAGTTTGTCTTTAAAAAGCTAATAATATGAAAATAATAAAAAATAAAAAGCTAATGATATGACAAACTTCTCATAGAATAGAAAAGAAGAAAAGAGAGAAGACACAAATAATGATATTAAGAATAAATAATTTTAATGAGTTAAAATAAAAAAACCATATAATTATCTCAATTGATATAGAAAAGTATTTAATAAAATTCATCACCCTTTCGGGAAGCCTCCTACACTGCTGGTGGGAATGCAAGCTGGTGCAACCATTCTGGAAAACAGTATGGAGGTTCCTCAAAAAGTTGAAAATAGAGCTACCATATGATCCAGCAATTGCACCACTCAGTATTTACCCCAAAGATACAAAAGTAGGGATCCGAAAGGGTACATGCACCCCGATGTTTATAGCAGCAATGTCCACAATAGCCAAACTGTGGAAAGAGCCAAGATGTCCATCGACAGATGAATGGATAAAGAAGATGTGGTGTATATATACAATGGAATATTATGCAGCCATCAAAAGGAATGAGATCTTGCCATTTGCAATGATGTGGATGGAACTGGAGGGTATTATGCTGAGCGAAATAAGTCAAACAGAGAAAGACATGTATCATATGACCTCACTGATATGAGGATTTCTTAATCTCAGTAAACAAACTGAGGGTTGCTGGAGTGGGGGGTGGGGTGGGAGGGATGGGGTGACTGGGTGATAGACACTGGGGAGGGTATGTGCTCTAGTAAGCGCTGTGAATTGTGCAAGACTGTTGAATCTCAGATCTGCACCTCTGAAACAAATAATGCAATATATGTTAAGAAAAAAAAAGAAGAAGAAGATAGCAGGAGGGGAAGAATGAAGGGGGGGAAATCGGAGGGGTAGACGAACCATGAGAGATGATGGACTCTGAAAAACAAACTGAGGGTTCTAGAGGGGAGGGGGGTGGGAGGAAGGGTTAGCCTGGTGATGGGTATTGAGGAGGGCACGTTCTGCATGGAGCACTGGGTGTTATGCACAAACAATGAATCATGGAACACTACATCTAAAACTAATGATGTAATGTATGGGGATTAACATAACAATAAAAACATAAAATAAATTTAAAAAATTTCATCACC